GCGTTTATGCTTCTTTCCAACTCTCAGCAGTTTTTCCCATTGTGTTAGCATTACTGTCAGACAGAATTTTATGTGGTTCAACTACCTCCTATCAGCCTAGCTTGGGTAATTTCCCTTTCTATGATCTGGGACAAGAGGGTAGTCTGCTTTTAATTGGCCCAGGTCAGAGCACCTTTGCACAGCTGGGCAGGTTAGGTAGTATACAAAGTACCACATGTAAGGGAGCACCATTCGTTCCAGATATCACACATCTGTATATGAACTACAACAATTTCTAATAGGTGGAAGTAAAGTGTCCTGAGGAAGGTGCTGTATGGGTAGCCCTGGCCAGGGATATGTGTCCATCCCCATGCTGGGAGGTGGGATCAATCCTACCCAAGCCACCAGAGTGGTCCACCACCCCCATGACACTGAGAAGCGTTTATTAGGAATGGGAATGGATGCTGGACAGACAAAACAACAGATACCTACTATAGGCCAGTACTGTTATCCCTACTTTCTAGTTGAGGACCCTGAGGTTCTGCAGTTAAGGAACCTTCCCAAGTCCCATAAAACACAGGAAGGGACAGACTCAAATCAAGGAGTATCTGATTCCAGAACACACCCAGTTTCCATTCAGCCATCCCAATTCCTGATCCTTAATGAAGCGAGTCTAAGCTTATTTATTTGGTATTCAAATCCCTCCAATAAATGCTTCCACTCTACCCACCTAAAGGGCCAGAGCACAAGAGCTCGACAATCTTTACTGCCCTCATTCATTCCTGTTAGGAACCTATGCTCCTTCAAATATTCTCATTTGAAATTACCATTGTCCCCAAAACTCAAAGCTGTATGCTTCCCTAAACTCCAAGCTCTGTCCACAAAACAAAGATTTTACATTGGTTTGAAATAACTCCAATTCAGCACTCAATTTTCCCAATGGGGCTTAACTGCTGAGAAGACAAAGATTAGGTCTTTCCTTATAAGACACAGTAGACAACTTCTGTAGCATCTGGCCGGCCCCAAACTCCTCTTCTCAAAGGTCTTTCCATGCGCAACAAGTGAGGGAGGAGCCCTAGAAGCCAGATTGAGTTGAGTGAGCCACCTGCCTGCACTTAGCTGATTGGACTGGGAATGATCAGCTGACCTAAGCTGGCCCAATCAGATTTTTTCTCCGCAGACGTAGGCTTGAAGCTGGTCTGGCCACAGCCTCCTCATCATAGTGTGGGTTGGTTACATTGTCCCTGGGCTATGGGCAGCAATGAGAGCCAGTCTGCAGAAAGGAAGCAAATAAAAACTCTTTATGAGAAAGAATTGGAGAGTACAATTGGCCTCTTCCTGGAGGCTTTGTGGTTCCTGACTTCAATGTCAGGGCCTGCTAGCACTGCCTACCCTTGTTTTCCATGTGAACCCTCCGGACTAGTGTGAAGTAAGTTCTGTCTTGTGCAAGCCAAAGAGCCAGGCTAACCTACCCAAGGCGGGCCTCACAGTAAGTAAGCATTTACTTTATTTTACACATGGTGGATACAACAATAAGGGAAGTGGTTTACATGCCATTACTCATTCCAGGGCATCCAGCCACTCAGTTGCCAGGGTTATTTATGTTTGTACTTTAGAGATGGCAAAAGAGGTACTGGAGGAGGAAGGCCAGTGACAGGGTGGCAGGCGGCAGAGTCCCGTGATTTATGCTGACCTCAGGAAAGGCAGGGCAGCAGGATGGCAGAGGAGCAGGTTGTGGAAGCTGAGACAGATCTAAGCTGAGCCAGTGGGAGGGGAAGTGAGAATTGCTCCCTGAGTCCTAGCCAGGCACACAGGGGCAATGATGAGGGCACTCACCAAGTCCAAGAAAAATGAAGGGGAAGGAGGAGATCTGGGGAGAAAGATACCTGCACAGGCTTGTCTCCCTTTTCTGAATTTCTGTAGCATAGACAGCCATAGACACAAATTTTTAAAATCACCTCTTCCATCAGGGAGTCAGATTCTCTTTTATTACACCATCTCTTTTCTCAGACTTGGTGACAGCCTGCCATTGGACTTTTAATCTGACAAAACTGATACTGAAGGAGAGGAATGTACTATTTGAGGCCTCAAGGTTATGTCAATCTTGCTGGTTCTCAGTGGCCCACATTCTGTGTTGGGCCCTGCATGGGTGAGGCCATCTGGTGAATCTGGACCAAGCCTAGGGATGTAGGGACTCTTTCTCTTCCCTCTGGTTTTCTTCATTTTTCCACTAAGGATTAAATATTGTTTGTCTCACCAAGGTAGACATCTCAGAATAAACAGTCCTGGGAGAACTGTATGACAGATCTATAACTGTATGTCACTAGCTAATTCAGAAAGGGGGAGAGCAGGGGTCTGATTTGGGGTGGTACAAAAAGCAAAGAGAACAGAAGACTCCGAGGGTAAATAGAAGGTTTAAGAGCTCTATGCCTTCATGAATACTGTTCCCTGTCTCTCATTCTTTAACCCCCCTCCTTTGCTTTCACATTCCTACTCTTCCTTCAAGACCCAACGCAAACAATGTCCCTTTTTTCTTGATATCTCCTTCATACTTATCCAGGAGCACAAGTTTCACACTCCTTTTTCCAAACACGATTATGGCATTTATCAAAAGGGTTTCTGGCAGGACAACCAAGTTGTTAAGCACACAAATACTGGAATTAAAATCACCTGGACCCAAATCCTGGTTTGGCCACGTTATCAGCTGTGTGACCAAGATCCTTACTTTCTTCATCTATAAAATAGGATAATACTACATGCCTCATAGGGTTATGAGGATTAAATGTAATGTGCTTAAAAGGGTGTCAGGTGTCTAGTAAGCACTGTATAAGGGTGAGTTATCATTAATATTATTCCCCTTTCTGGGCTACTGTCACCCCAACACGTGAAGCCTGGGTTTGATTTTATCCTTGGCCTCCAAATGTGACACTGTTAACTGAATAAATCTTTGCACTTGATCAGTTGACTGATAGCCCCAATTACCTCTGCCCCAGGACTGAATTTCTGCTTGTCTCAGGAAGCCTCCCTTAAAGCACCAGGTCCCCAGCCTGTCTAATTCCTGCTGTCCAGGGTCACTAAGTTCTACTCACACCCTGCCTTGGAGTTACTCTTATTAAATTTCCAGTTTCAGCCCAACCTCCCAGACCTAGACCTGACTGAAGCTCCCATGCCTGTCCGTCAAGGACCACCTCTTCTGGCTGGCTGATCTTTTATGTGTCACTCATTTTGGCACCAACCCTACAGCTAATAAATCCTACTCTAAAATAACCCCAGAAAGGCAAGGAAAACACTTTCTTTTTAATTACAAGAAACATGTGGAATAAATTCTTATTTTCCCCCTCCCCCCCAAAAAAAAGAAAAAAGAGAAGACAAAAAAAATACACAACCCTATAAAGATACAGAAAATACAAAGCAAAAGCTCCCCACATTCATTCATACTCCTCTCCCCAGAAACCAGCACTGTCATCACTTCACTGTCTCCTTTCAGACCTTCCTATACCCTTTAAGCATGTAAAGAAATTGTCACTTTATTTTGGTTCTTTTTCTATAAATGGGATTGTTTAGGGGCTTCTTGGTTGCAGCTTGTTTTTTTCATATAGCAGTTAATCTCCCAAGTTGCAGAAGATTTTGTGGGATGGCTTACATAGTTCATTTTCCTGTTGAAGGACATTGACATTGTTTCCAAACTAGATAATGATTTCATTTTAGTACAGCTTCCATTATATGACATTATCATTTTACAAAGATGTTTGTCACTGCTTTAAAAAATATTTTTTTATTGATTTCAGAGAGGAAGAGAGAGGAATAGAGAAACATCAGTGATGAGAATCATTGATTGGCTGCCTCCTGCACGCCCCCTACTGAGGACCGAGCCCGCAACCCGCGCATATGCCCTTGACGGAATTGAACCCGGGACCCTTCAGTCCGCAGGCCAACGCTCTATCCACTGAGCCAAACCGGTCAGGGCAATACATTATCATTTTAAAAAGTATAAATTTAAATCAGAATAAGTAATAAAAAAACATTATTCTGGGTATTTATGAAATTTGGTATTCCAATTTTTTATTTTTATAGCTGTATACAACAATAATCATAAAAACTGCATTCCTAGATTTGTTTCTATATACTTAAGTAGCATTATAATAAAAATAATTTAAGAGAGGAAAAATGTACAGGGTCTATAATCTGCAATTCTTAATAGAGACAAGCTTTTTAACTTTGAGCAAGTGTATTAGTTATATTGCTGTGTAATAAATTACCCCCAAGCCTAGTGGCTTAAAACAACAAACATTGCCATGGCCAGTGTTGCTCAGTGATTAGATTGTCAGCCCTCGCACTGAAGAGTCACAGTTTCAATTCCAGTTGCAGGTTAGATCACAGGCCTGGGTCGAGCAAGTTCAGAAGGCAACCAATTGATGTGTCTGATATCAATGTTTCTCTGTTTCTCTCTCTCTCTTTCTCCCCCTCCTCCTTCCCTTCCACTCTGTATAAAAAATCAATGAAAAAAATATCCTTGGGTGAGGATTAACAAAAAAAAATTTTAACACATTTATTATCACAGTTTCTATATCAGCTCAGCTCTGTTGTCACTGGGTCCTCTGGTTCAGGGTCACACAAGTGCAATCCAATTGTCAGCTAGGCCTGGGGTCTCTGCTGGCTATTGGCCAGAGGCATTAATTCCTTGTGGTGTTGGCCTTTATAGGGCTACCCCCTTTGTGGTAGCTTACTTCACCCACACAGAAGGCTCAGAGACAGACAGAAATACAGAAGTCTTAGTCTTTTTGTAACCTAATCTTGGAAATGACGTTCCATCACTTTGGCCATATTCTGTTCATTTAAAGTGAGTCAGTAGGTCCAGCTTTCACCTGAAGGAAGGGGATCACACTGGGAAGAACAGCAGGAGGAGGTTTCATTGCAGCCATCCTAAAGATACTTATTATAAGTCACTTGGCCTCTCTGTACCTCAGATCTATTGTCTGTAAACATCTACCTCATAGGAAACATTGTGAATATTAAAAGAATTAAAATATGTAAAGTGCTTAGCACAGTATCTGGCAGAAGGTGAGCACTAAAGAAGTATTAGCTAAGTATGGATACAAAAATAATGCAAATGTATATATACTCTGTGGCAATACTCAGTACGTACTAGGTTCATGGTCATTGTTCATGAAATACTAGCATTAAAAGACCCATAATTATTCAAAAAAAGTTAGAGCATGTGGAATTTACCCCAGAAACAAAAGTACTTTATAAAGATGAAAGTTCCTACCGTAATTATCAGGGGGCTTCACAGCCACCTTCAAATTTCCCACAAGCTTTCCCCACATTAGAAATTCCCAAGCAGCAAGCTCCAATGACATCCTGAGTCATCTCTAAACCTAAACAGAAAAAGCCAACCACACTTTGCTCTGAAAATGCATACCATTAGCCTGATTGCAGAAGTTGCCCAATTTGCAAAAGCACACAATTTATAAGTTACAGAAAGAAGGGCAAGAGCTTATCTGCCTAGCTGGAGCCTTTCTCATTGTGCTCAGCAGTCTAGGTGAGATTTGGGGCTCACCTGTGAGGGGTTTTAAAAAAACAATATTCACTGATATTTTAAGGAAAGAAAGGTTATCCAGTACACCCATAGTCTTTAAAGGGTAGTACAGAGTGGGAGACGGGTTAAGGAGAGGTGTCCTGCTTTGCACATGTCCTTTTTATGCAATTTGGGATGCAGTGGGTGGGGGAAGGAGGCCAACCTGTCATGCAACAGATGTGATAAATGAGTCATAAATCAGGAGCTAACAAAAGTCTGGACTCCCCCTCCCCCTTTCATTTCCTCGAGGCCTCAGAGTCACCCATTAAACACAGCCCAGCAACTCTCCAGGGCAGATAAACCTCACAACAGTATGCATGGCCTCCTGATAGAGAGTGCTCTAGCTCACAGTGTCCAATGTGCAAAGGCCATCTTTCCCTGTATCAAAAGTTCCAAGGAAGGAGGAAGAAGGAAGGACTGGAAAGGCCAGCCTGGCAGCCTGGAGGGGTCACTAATGTGGGTCAACCAGCAGCCTGTTCACTCCCATCCCACCTACCTTCAACAACTGCCAAAGGAGTGCAATATCATGAAGGTGGAAGCAAGAAGAAATTTCTCCATACCATGGGAGGCACCTGCCAGGGTAAGAGTGGATGGGTTAGTTGTATTTTTGGAAAAATAAACCAAATCTCTCTGCAGATAATTGTTTTTCCTGTTCTTTGTTTCAACACCTCTGAAACCAAATTGCCTTTTGAACAACTAGTTCCTCACTGACTGGAACACTGAACGCTCACGTCAACATGACAAGGTGGGGATCCCACTTCTCCAATGAGAGCTAGTGAGCCCTGGGCTTGGAGGACACCTGCACTGAAAGGCCAGAGGTGGAAGGAAAGGGAAGGAACCTTGGTAATAAATTCCACTGGCTTGGGTGTTAAATTAAGAGTGGAAAATATTATATTTTCTCCAATAAAAGTGAAACTGTGGCTGATTCTTTTTTCTGTTGTCACTATTATGTTCTTTGTGATATAAAAAGGCACAAATGGAATAAATAGAATATGATTTAATTTTTTCCTCTGAAGACCAGCTAAGGAAAGAATTTATGTAAAGTGTGCCCACAAAATTCAGTGCTTTATTTCAGGCTGTGCAACTGTTTTCTGACTGTGTTGAGTGTGCTAATCTTAACTCCTTAACTAGACTATAAGTAGGAGTTGGACATAACTGAACGGGGTATAGTCTAGTTAAGTAGTTAAGAAAAAGGACTCTGGAGCTTTTCCCAAAGATTATCAGCTGTGTGATCCCGAGCAAATTAATCTCCCTGTGTCTGAGTTTCAACTATAATAATGAAGATGAGAACAATAGTACCCATCATGTAGAGTTGTTGCAAAATCCTGGTACGTAGTGGGCACTCAATAAATATTAGTTATTATAAACTCTGACTCACCATGTTATAGTGCTGTTCAAAAACCTACAGTGGTTACCCCTTGTTACTGAGGTACAGGTCTTATCAGGTCAATTGAGACTCCATGCACCATCCCCAACCCCCAAGCTCAATGCTCTCCTAAATGCATTATCTCCCTGTGCTTTAGCTCCTGCTACAATGTCTTCACCCCCACCCCACCTATTCATCTGAAATCCTCTCCCATGAGTGTGTGGCTATTCTCATTGCTCCCTTACTAGAAGGTAAACTGAATGAGAACCATTCTCAGAGCCCAAACAAGGACTGTACATAACAAATACTCAGGAATCATTTACTGAATGATTGAATAACATCATATCTATTAATTTTTTTCCAAGACTCAGATCATATCACCACTCCCATGCATGTAGTCCTTCTAAAAAATTAAGATTAAAC